TCGAACAACACCAAAAGCAAACTCTCCTACCTGCTAATAAACTTCATGAATCCATAATCGAAGATTTAGCGCAGAGTAAATATAATCTTCCATCCAATACGACCAACTTTCATCACCTTTCTTCCGTTTCCCTCTCTAACCCTCAAGATGAACCCTCTGACCAAAAAATCTCCCGACTACTTGACCAAGGCTACCAGGATGAAACAGACCAATGGCTAAAAAATATTGTTGCCGAGTTGACTAAGTCGGAAGGAATACCACATTCAAAAGAAATTTCACTTTCTGAATGCGAGCTTCGGGGAGGCCGACTTTATTATCGTGATAGAATCTATGTCCCAGATAACGAACTGAAGCCCATGCTCATTCAGATGGCTCACTTTAGCTGTGAAAAAGGTCGTCCAGGAAAAAATGCATTGTATCAAGAAGTGTTGCGATTTCATAGTAAGAGGAGCAGAAAGTATAGCTCAAAGAATATTGTTTCCATTAAAGTTCTAAGTTACATGTAAAACGCGAATTTATGTGCGCATATCCTAGAGTTAAAGTGAGTATGCAAACAAAAATTATTACAGTGAAAAGTCTTCAGCACAGCTGACCACGAGACCATTGTGCGGGGAATAAAACAGTACTGACCCCGCACCATTAACGCCATCCTATTTGTCGCAAAGTAAACGTGACCATATCTCTCACTGCATTTGCATATAGTATCATATTACCCCGCACATGCAAATGTATGATAGAATATCTCAACAGCGAAAAGAAACTAAAATGAAGAATACAGGATGTATTGTGCAGCATGCAGGAAAGTTGTTCATATTTGCAAAGAATGCCAATTATCGTAAGAAATGTGGCAAATTCCAACAAGAAGTCTCTAACCATTACTGGTGGCCCAACTTCTCGAAGCAAACTGATCAATTCGCAAAAAACTGTCACAACTACCTCCGAAATAAAGTCTCTCGGCTCAAGTATGAAGGAGCTCTAAAACCCCTTCCCCTTCCATTACAGCGCTGGCGTGATATCTCAGTAGACTTCGTCGGTTCTTTAGCAGAATTTAATAACTACAATTGCATCATGGTTGTGGTAGATCGCCTCACCAAAGAACGACATTACTCACCTTGCCATACAAAGATGAATGCAAAGGACCTAGCTAGACTTTTTTTCCGTGATATTTGGCGACTTCATGGACTATGTGACTCTATAGTCTCCAACAGAGGTCCGCTCTTTGTTGCAGAATTTTGGAAAGCGGTTTGTGACTGTCTACAGGTCAATTTATCACTTTCTACAGCTTACCATCCTGAGACTGATGGATAGACAGAAAATGCCAACGCCTTTATGGAACAATATCTCAGACAATACATAGATTATTCTCAAGAGGACGTCTACGAATGGTTACCAATGGCTGAATTCGCTGCAAATAATGCAGTAAACGCATCTACCAAAGTCACTCCATTTTTTGCAAATAAAGGGTTTCATCCACGTATGAGTTTTAGTCCTCCACGAACAGTTGAGAGGAATTCTTCGAAAAGTCTTAGGAAGCAAATATCAGCGGGTACTGACTTCGCTTCTAAAATGGTAGAAGTCCTCGACGTACTGCTCGCAAACCTTACGGACTCCAGAGATAGGCAAGAGAGTAAATCTAGTGCAAACCGATCACCAGCACCAGCTTATCGAGTTGGTGACGAAGTTTTTCTAGATGCCCGCAATATCACGACTTCACGACCAATCTCGAAGCTAGATTGTAAATTTATAGGACCTTTCAAAGTTATTAAAATTATTAATTCTCATGCATATAAATTACAGCTTCCTTTCGATTTAAAAATATGCATGATGTTTTTCACACAAGTTTGCTCAGACCGGCACCCGCAAACCCCTTACCAGGCCAGACCAACCCCCCATCACCACCTATTGCCCTTGATGAGTCAGGCGAAAAGTTATATGCCATCGAAGCTATCTTAGATTCTAAGCGTAGCAAGAATAGAAAGAACTTTCAGTATTTGATATTGTGGAGAGGTTATGATTCAGAAGACCAAACATGAGAACCTCTCAAGAACGTTGTAAATGCCAAATTATCCATTAAAGAATTTGAACAGCGCTTCCCACATAAACTCAAGCCATCACCGCGAGAGATTGAGGCAGCGAAAAGACAAGCTAAGATATCCGTAACGAAAATTGCGCCCAAGATCTAAAACATTCGATGTGAGAAGGGACCATATGTCAAGGGATAGAGTGAATCGAGGGAATTTACTGTCACGTGATATAACGCGTCTGATACGCGATTCACGATGTATATATTTTTATAGGACTCAAGAGAAGTCTCCTTCCTTCTTTGTAGACAATCTCAATCACCAGATTAGACCTCGTCAATCTACTTCATGACCTTCCCCTGACAGACCTCACCATGCGCTGTAAACAGCCACCGGAACTGGCTCTACCAAGATGGGCGTACCACCGTCTAATTGCGGCAAGGACCGGCTACCGGGACTACGCCGACTGCCATAGACGTTTCAACCGCAAACATGAAGATCTGAAATAAGTTCGCGTCTGAGAGAAAAGGCCCTGGCATTTTTCAGGGTGCCGACCTGCTTTGCAACATTGGATAAGCTGTGAGAAAATGGTACTATCAGGGGCCAGGTGTGGCAGAAACTGAGTTGCTGATGAATAAATCAATTTATTAAACTATGAGGAGAAAAGAGAACTCTAGCTACGACTAATAGGTATTTAGAAGAATTGTTCCCCTTCGTCAATCTCCAGACTGATGGCTTATCCTTAGGCACAATACTTGCTACCCAGCCATGCAATGCTTAGTGTCACTTAGCTACAGTAACGCTTCGGCCCCATGACTAATAGTGCCATCATGGTCTACTTCATCTTTCCCCCCATGTAGCCTTGTCATAAATATTCTCAACAATACGCTTAGGTATTCACCTAAGCTTAAATAACGGTCAAACCGTATCACCAGGGAAATGATAGAGGAGAATGGATGGCAGAAGTTCATTCAATTCCTAACTACAAGCAGATGGTACAGTCTGCCGAAGAATGAATAGGGTGGGAGGTGACCATGCTGAGGCTGTTTCCAACTCGAGAGGAGATGTGCTTGGAAGATAAGGATGCGGCGCAAGGCACCATTTATATATAATTCATTTTACCTGATTTGGCACCTTGAGGCCCATGCAGGTTTTTATCGCAAGATATGTACTTGAAGTAGGATGACTCAAATTGACATTTAGAACACTCACACTCAGATTTCATTTGCAGACACCACGCGAGGTTAATCCTTACAGCTTATAACATCTTCCGTGCATACCCACCACAGGGAAAAGCGTGAAAAACCTGTGGCTATCCGAGTGTGCTTTCATCATCCGACAAGCACAATATTACCGCGAGAGAGAGTGGTGTGTGGGTCTTTCTGGTTTCGAATCAGCTTTCTCCTATCTCGAATGGGGTAGGTGTTCAAGCCACACAGTATCTACTAGGGAGAGCGGCCCGAATGGTGTACCACTGCACCATCCAACCCGTAAGGCACCGCAACTCAGACATTTACTGGACCTTGTTCTTCATTTCATTTGTCGCTTCCGAATTTATTTCCGGTAATGTAGTGAGCATTGAGTATTCAGGGTCCATTTACTAATATCACGGCTAAACAAATGTCGCGTTATTCCTGTCGCGTAAAAGATTTCAAATTACATTCAGATGATATAAAAGATACATCTTCTGTGGGAATAGATCTATTAGAAGGCACGCATTATTACGTAACCTAGCACTTTGCCATGGCATGTGACTCCCTATGAGTAGATAGAAATACCGGAAACTCGTTGGCAGAATTAACCTTATTTCTCTACTGAACGACTACTTTACTAGAACGTAAGGAAGTGAGGGTACCCAGAGTAAGACTAAAATCTTCCTTACATAAGAATAATGCTTGATGGCTACTGTCAGGCGCAGGTTCACTAGGTGCAGAACTCGAAGCGTAGGAGAGAGCGTGGTATACGAGTTACGAAGGAGGGCTTGTAGGAACGCGGAGGGATCTCTAGAGAATTGGTAGAGTAGCCGAAGGTGATGGCAGGTCACAGAGGGTGGCAGAGGACGAGAGTGATATGTGACTAGAATCATGTACCTATTCCTAAAGACAAAAGATGTAGCGTGAAGATCTCAGACTTGGAAATCAAAACTACTTGTCCTCGATAAGCAATAAAGCCTTGTGGGATTAACCAAGGCACCCGTGAACCCTGCCTATGGCATTTATTCAGAATACTTTAAGGTACAATACTTCATTCTCGCGAGTCCACGAGGCTCTAATCATTACTTCAAGTTTAAACGCGAGGCCTTGACTCCGGATTCAGTCACAACCCTTCCAATCTCTTTGCAGCCAATATTGAGAAACGAATGGGCTAACTATTATGAATGCGAAGTTGTGAGGAGAAATAGATATCGATATTTTCCTGTACGTCCTACAAGAGAGATGATTGAAATTGTGGAAGATGATTCTGTAGAACATATTTAGCTTGAAAATTACTTGACGTGGGAAAACTACTCTGCTTATATACAGGTGAAATTACTTCGACTCCTGTGGTCATATTTTTATGCTCTTCTCGATTGATGATGCCTAGATCTGTTCTGTATTAATTTGTTCGATTCCGTTATGCTAGCACCATCTCTATTTTATCTCACCTACTCTAAACTTACAAACTTAGTGGTAACCATGATACAATCACGGCACCCATAATTTCCTTTCAGAGCGACTATAAATAGTCGATGTATCCTGATAAGATATTTGTTGAGCGATGGTTATCTATTTAGTTATGCAGTGTAAGAAACTCCAATTATTCCTTGATCCGAACCTCTTTCCCGATATAATTTTTTAGAAGGTGTATTGCTCACCAGGGAAATTAACTGTTGAAGGACTAGTAATGGGGCCATTTGGTTGAGAAGATCTATGTGTACAAAATACTCCATCTCTCACTATACATTTTATCAATCTATTTTTTTCACTTGTTCTCCATTAATTATGCATTCCGGCTCATATCGTTCCGCACTCTTTGATAGTCTAGTAATCCTTCGATGCTACCGACGGCTGAAATAGCGATATCTTGATCCCAGAGTTTACGACGAGCAAAGTCCATTACGTCCTTCTCCGTAATAGCACTAATGACACGTTCTATCTCTTCAGGACACATTCGGCGTCCAGTGGTGATAATTTGTCTTCCAATATCTTCGGCGACAGCGGATGTCCCATCTAGAGAGAGGAGGATTGACGCTTTTAGTTGAGCTTTTGCACGCCCAACTTCGGCCTCGGTGACATTAAATGACAACCTTGACCATTCGCGGAGAGTAAAGTGAACAAGATCATCAATTCGTGTGAGTTTATCTGTGACCAAGTAGATTCCCCAAAGACTAGCTTGATTAGCTTTTGTGTGCCTTGAAGTGGTTCAGGTGAAAAGTTTCTTACCCAGTATCACTATAACTTGTCGAAAAGCTCATAAAACTGTTGGCAAGCTCGTTCTTGTGAACAAACCCACTAAGTTTACTGCCCATGTGTGGCGCATTCCCCATTGCTTTGTCCCAGTTTCCAACAATGGCTTGAGTTACAAGAGCAGTGAAGTAATCATCATCTTTCCAGCTAACACCCTCGACTGCAATTGCGATATTGGCAGTGGGTATGGTGTCGTCCCGAAATCTGACTTCCGAACCGATGAACTCTGGTTTAGCTTTCCTGGTGATCATGTTGCTATTCGAAGGCGCTCCTGGTAAGCCCCCAAAGTGCTTCTCAGCGAGTTCTACAAGCTGTGCATGCGGGATACCACCGGCTCCGACGAGAACCATTCGATCGGCGGTATAATTTGTCTTGATATAACTCACGAGATCATCTCTTTGAATACTTTCGATATTTTCGGCAGGACCGAGAATCGTTCGCCCAAGCGGTTGTCCCTGAAAAGCAGTTGCGTGTAAATGATCAAAGACGACTTCTTCCAACTGCTTCTCAACTTCTTCTGATTCTCTCAAAATTACATCTCGTTCGCGTTCAATAGCTGATTTATCTAGCTTAGAGTTCTGGAGAATATCAGACAGAATATTGACCGTAGCAGGTACGTCTGAGTTGAATGCTTTAGCGTAATATACAGTGTTTTCGCGCTTAATTTCATTATTATAATGATCAATTTGTTCTTGCTTTACAACTTACAGATGTATAAGCGTTCAGATGACCGCCCATATTCTCAATTTCCAGCTCCAGCTGCTGTTGGGTTCGATTGCTAGTACCCTTTTCTGATTTTCAGTAATAAAATAACAGCAAAGTTTAGCATGGACTTTACTTTAAATGCAAGATGCTCTAGAAAATGAGCGGTACCATTTGTCTTATCGGTTTCGGCCCGAGACCCTGCATCAATCCAGACACCGACTGTAGAGGTTTGAGCCCATGGTGAGTGCTCAGTAGCAATCTATATAAATTGAGAAGTGGTAGACAAGCAACAAGAATTTAGGCTTACAGTCAATCCATTTGTAAGTGTTGTTGTTTCGGTCTTTGCTCCACTTTTAGTGACGGGCGTCGCAAGGCCTCTCTTCAATGATGCCAGTGAATTTCTGGCGGCACGGTTGCTGCGAAGTCCTTGGGCCAGATTAAGTGCTAGTCGACGTGACGCCATCTGTGCTATGTTGAGGATGGATGAGGATGAAATTTGGATTTTGTTTTTTGCAACATACACGACTCGAGGCTGGTTAATCGCCGGAACTTGTGGATCGGCCAATCACAGGCTCCACCATTCAACTTACAAATCGCCGCTCAGCCTTTGTCGATTACAGAGGTTGATACATACGTGCCGTTATTGCGATTCAATCTTGTTATCCATAATTGTCCTCCTGCACCAAATAGCCTCAAGCTTCAGACCTGCTTCCAACATCTTCAAGATATCTTCAGAAATGATTTCTGCCACTAAGTTAGCAGGTAGTTTATCGAGGAGCTTTCCATGCCAATCCAGCCTAAATATCAGGCATAGCTACATGCGAGTAGCTGCTTTCCATACCAGTGGCAGCAAGACTATATTGCCTCCTCTGCCCCGTAAGATTATATATTGCATGAATATCTGACATTTTCTAGAGCTAATACAGTTCGCAGAGATGATTCATGGCACAGGTATATTCAATTATCTGCTAATAATCTTTACTTATTATTCTAGCAAACGATGCCGCGCCTGTACCCAACCCCGAACCGAATCACGGCTCTTATCATTGGACATTTGAACGGCTTGTTTCTGCTGGCCTCGTTCCTCTCACTCTAGCACCATTTGCAGCTGGATCTCTTAATCCTACCCTTGACGCCGTTCTATGTGCAACGATTCTCATACATTCACATATTGGCTTCGAGTCAGTTCTGACTGATTACATTCCTAAGAAACGTCTTCCAAAAACGAGAGCGGTATCTTGGTGGGCATTGAGGGCTGCGACAGTAGCTGTTGGTGTGGGCCTTTACGAATTCGAAACTAATGACGTAGGTGTTACGGAGGCAATAAAGAGAATATGGAGAGCATAATAAAGAATGAGGAATGCAAAATTAAGCCTTGGTTCTTATAACTAGTAGCTATGAGCCATTTCCAAGTTCACTGACCACAAGCTCTAATTTGGTATTTAACTCCTTCGCCGGATAGTTTAAGCCAACACTAGATGGGATACACAATGGCAGTTCTCTCCAATGGAAGAAATCATTACAAGAACTAGGAGATTTAGGGACAGGACAAGATTCTGTAGACATGAACATCATATGAAGTCTTTAACAAGGATCCCCAGTTTCTAAAATGGCACCACGGCATATAATAATAACTGTTCAGACTCAAATTAGAGATAAGTAGTTTTCTATACATCTATGAAGTTTTTAGTCCAGATAGTATACGTCGGTCGTCTGACGCAAGTTGACTTTGCTTGTCCTGAATCCTTATATGAACAATTCAGCATAGAAACCAAATCCAGATGTATTTAAGTGTGAACTTAAATACCGTGTTAATGGCACACCCCACATTTCTTGAGGAATTTAAGCATCGGTCATACCGTACTAGATCAAGTAACCACCAAAATAAATTGATGACCAATATTGTAACCGAAACATTACAGGCCTTACCCTTCGTTGAACAATTACTTACTCGACCATATGGACAACCCTCATTTTAGTCGATTGTTTGTGTAAGCGAACATACCTCATAGTGGTATTTGCGAATGAAATCCAGAGTATGAGTGTCTCTAACGTCAAAAGAGTCATCCCACATGTATACATAGCACCGGTCATGTGTCATAGCTAGATAGCTGAATACACATTAAATGATTTAAAAAATACCCCCCCCTATCATTTTATGCATCGAGGCTAATTCTGCAGCTCAAATATTGCTACAACGCGCCAGACTCGCTGGATAATTCTGATTTACAACTTCCCATTATACCATAGTTTATATCTGTGATTGTTGTCCTGATATGTATGTGACTTTATTAAGAGAGATCAGCCATTATGCTGGAGTATTGAAGGGTTTTTGGAGCAGCAAATATCTTAAAAGAGAGAAGAAAACCTGTTTAGGTGGTTAACAAAGTGTGCTTCTGAGATTAAGATAAATACAGCGGAATTGCAAGGGTCAAAGCTTACGCGTAACGGAGTCGACTGCAGAATTAATAGACATTCTTTACATGAAAATGTTATCCTCCAGCCCAGAATATCAGGGCTTGCAAGACACAACACGAACAATTAAGACACTAGATTCTTGCACAAAGAATAACTTATAAACAGTCTTAAATATTGTATCTAATTGGGTCAGAATTATTTATTCTTACCCGATTTTGAAAAAATTGTTCCGGCAAGATGCAGGCGAGCACGTTGGTCGATAGAAGTAAATGCAAGTAGCTGTATTTCCAACAACAACCTTCTGCCCTCCGACCAGGAGTATTGTGGTTATGTGGAGAGGGATTGCACACAAACTGTAGCTTTATCAATATGATGTGCTTGACACTATTTTGAAGTGGACGATGATATTTTTTTCATTATCAGACTCGTTTCCAGATGACCGCTATCTACATGACGGAGAATACTCCTATTTATACCTGTAGCCCATCTGTCTACTTGCTAGTATGTCAGGTGCAGGTTCACTAGGCGCAGGACTCGAGGCGTAGGAGAGGGCGTAGCGTACGATGTACTGAGGAAGGACGCCTCGTGGGAACGCGTAGGGCTTTCTAGAGAAGTGGTAAATGGGAAAGCGGGCAGTCGTTCTAGATAGAGGTGACGGTAGGTCACTCTAGTTGGCAGAGGACGAGAGTGAGATGTGATGAGAATAATGTAACTATTCCTGAAGACAGAAAACAAAGCGTGAAGATCTCAGTATCCGAAGTGAAAACTACATAACTATCCTCGCTAGTCAATAAGCCTAGTGGTGGAGGGCAAGACTGAACACCTGTACGCGGTGTCCTCTACGAACCTGGGGGTGAAATATTCTCCCAGAGCCAAGTTCAGTCAAATTTCGCAATATCAAAGAAGTTGGCCCACGAGGCAAAAATTCAAATTACTCCACCATGTCAATCTTTCACTCCCAAAGAGTCCGATTCTCAACTAAGCTTCATCAAGTCTACAAGTACAACCTAGTACATCCTCGTTTCAATGACCACACCTCTCGTCGACTTTCTCTGGCCTCAGCCGGTCACCAAATACACGCCCACGCCTATATTTATACCCGACGGAGGAAGCAAAGCGTGGAGCACAAATCTGGGAGATAGCTCTTTGGGATGGACGTGTGAGGGATCAGGACAAGTTCACAAGATGATGCAGAAGAGGGATACGTTATCGACGAGCGTGAAATTTCGAATTTTGGAAAGAGTTTTACGAATTGAGCTTTGTACGCGCCAAGACTTCGCTTGCGAGAGTGCAGCGAACACCATAAACACAAGCAAACGATGGAAGGTGTTGTGATCCGCCTCCTGGTGGTGTTCTCTGGTATGGTTTGAGTAGCCTGGGCACCTACTTCACTTGGGAAGGAGACATCTCAGCTTACATTTCGCGCGGAGAAAAGTTGATGGATGACAGAGGCATGTCCAGATGACTCAGGGTTTTTGAGATGTTCCCCTGGGTGGGTATTCACGGATGAGGGTTGACTTGGGGTGAAGAAAAAGCCGCCATAACTTCGCAGTGGTACTTGCAAATGAAATCTGAGGCATGAGTGCTTCTCTTGTAAATTGAGTCATCTTTTCTGTACACTTCTTTGATATTGTGTAATAGCTAGGTAGCTGCATACGCAATTAAAATCTGATTTAAAAAAAAAAGCCTAGTGGTGCAGTTACGCCCTCAGGGCTCCAAACATGCAATGAGCAAGGCAGTGTAGGTGCTTGAACATGAAACACCTACACTTGACATGAATGCCAAGCTAGTCTTGGCATTACTCAGCAAACACTCACACCTCATGTATATAGAGCTCGCTGTAGTCACTCCTGTTTCTCCTTCCATAGCCAATCTATCTTACATTCCTAAGGCTGCCTCTCTACCATTTTCATACCTCGTGATTGGTGCTAAACAAGGAACACATAAATCCTGCCTGAGGCATTTCTCCAGAATCCTTACATAGTAGAATATCCCATCTTGTGATGTAAGATATTCTATTATAGTCTACAGAATAGTCTACATTCTTCATTTTATCCTCATGCAATTGTCTACTATGTCACTGCGCCAACCACATCTTGTCTAGATCTCTATATCATCTAATACAGCTTGTCTAATTGGCTGAATAATTTCACATCACAACAGGAAGTACCTGTGCTTTAGGTAGTGCACTCACTTCTGGGCCTCTAATTCTTTCCAACAGCAATACCTCCACAGGTCTACAAATGAGTCACACTAAGAGGAGCCTCTATATCTTCATCATTTCATCTCTACAACTAAGAAGACGAAGGCAATTTCCGGGAGTGTGGCAGCCGGAGGATATTCAAAAGACCTTCTAAGTGCAAGGCTCCCCTAATATTAACATCAGTACTAAATCCGAAAACACAACTACCCTTTTGAAGTATTCGAAGAGACCAACCAATTGAGCTCTATATTATGACCCTAGTCTGTGCCTGGAAGTAAGGACTTTGTAACCAAGATTCAGTAAAAACATTGAGAAGTGTAAGGGAGACGTCTCAGATAGGTAATATCACTGGGCAGGAGTTATGATATACAGGTAGCTCGAATAAGTAAGTAGTCTCCGACAGGAAATTAAGATACAAAAACGTCGTATTCCCAGTCCCACCAGCAGTAAAGCGACTAGTTATACTCTAGGTAAAAGTGAACTGGAGCTTCCTCCCAACTCATACAACAGCTCAACGTTACATGAGATAAACCCAGAACTAAACCTATTTGTTAACCAACCCATTTCTTGGTACACCAACACGTATACCATACGCTAATACTAGTGTTTGGCAATGGATGATGTTGATCCAGATGTATTCCCTGACAGTTATGGCCTCAGAATCTTACGACACAGGATGAGGATACAGTTTCTCTCACATTACTGTCTTTTCGAACCTTACATTCGTTGATACGAAAATGGGTAGGATCAATAGCAAAGCTCAACAATGATAACGAATAGTGCTGTTATTATAACAGTTTACGACAAAGTTTTGTTACACAGATTTCAAGTCAAATAAAGAGAAGTAGATCATTTTATGGATTAAGATACATATCATTGACATTGTCAACAAACTATTGTTAAATACTTCTCTAATGAGATTCGTGAAGAAAAGTTATGTTGATATTTTGCAATTTGGTAAATATCTTACCACATCAACCTTAGCCATGTCTCATTGATTCAAATAAAGATAAGTGTAAATGAAAATTTAAAGTTCAATCTCTCGATATAGCCAACATTTAGAGCTTAAATGTTCCTCTTCTTCACACCGGATAAGTAATACGCGGTTTAACCGAGTATGAAATGGTGTTCTTTCTACCCAACGGCCATTTCTCGTAATAAATTTCGGCGAGCTATAGCTCCCACGGCGATCTTATACCGGCGTGCTATGAAGGTTGAATTCATGATTCTTCCAGCTAAAAGTGAACGGTTTGTCAACAAAGCTCGAGCAACAAAAATTAATACTTTCATGCGGTCATGAATATATCTTACCTCTTATGTCCTCGATAGTTTCGTCAAAAGCCATGATCATTCTCCTGTACATTGATCCACGATCTTTAGGTGTGTCCAAAAAAGTTCCATCCTTAAACAGAATTGTTCGTAAGCTCTTGGCTAGTTCCTTTAGTCCTACAAAACTTGGCGTGAACTTATCGAGAATTATTTCAAGATCTAAAATATCCGTATATTTAGACGAGTAGCAAGTATCAATTTCACCCTTACACCATTTGTCTAGATTTCGAAGCTCAGCCTCATCTACAGATTCGTACTCTATGCATCCTACAACAAACACATAGAAGAATGATTCTAGATCGTGGCGATATGTTCGTCGGATGGTAGGCTTTAAAGCTGCAGCGGCTTTTAATCTCTCAATTGCCATAAACTTCACGGTGCCTGTCAAGAACAGTTC